ATAAAGTTGCAAATATTATGGCAGTTCTCACAACAAGGCACTCATTACGCGCAGTTAGTGGATGTATTGGATGAGTCGGGTCAGCACCGGGTGGCGCAGCGTTTGCGCGATTTTAACAGCACATTAAAATCGTATCAGTTTGAAATCATATCAACCATTGGATCAGGGAACTTTGGCATAGTTTATAAGGTGAAACTTAAAACGGATCAAAAGACATATGCCATTAAAAAGTATAATTTCACAAGTTAGTGTATTTTAATAAATACGTTAGAATTATAATATAATCGTCTATGTGCAGATAACCGGTATGTATTTTTAAATTTTGTTTTAAAAACTGTATACATAACATAATAATTGTATTACTAGTATTACATATCACATTGTATACCAGTAATTCAATGATTATGTTATGAATTCAGATTGCATTTAAAAATACATACCGGTTTTTATACCCAGATGATCAACAGAGCATATTAACAGTAATAATTAGTACTAGAATTATTAGTATTATTATCACTGATAATATCAGTATCAATTTTAATACAATATTATTTTAGTAAAATAATAATTACACAATTTTATCGCTTATATTTAATTTTAAAATTAAATTATTTATTTAAGTAAGAAATTTATAAGTCCAAATATATTTTTTTCAAATTGCATAAATAAATTTAAGTTTAGATTTACAGCTTAAATTTATTTTTCAAAAATTCATTGTTTACTTAATAAAACTACCTTTTAAAATTATTAAGATTGGGGCAAACATCTTATTTATAATATACACCGAGAAGCATGGTACTTACGGCGACTGAAGTCACAATATGTAGTCGGCTATTACGACAGTTGGGTTGAAGGGAAGACCTTGTTCATTCAGATGGAGTTGTGTTTAGACAATCTTCGCAATATAATTCATATGAAGCAACAGATATTTAATAGAAAACCTGAACAACCAATGACTTTATACGAGTACTTCATTTCGTGTGAAATATTTAAAGAGATTTTAGAATGCGTTCAGTATTTGCATGATTTGAATCCACCGGTCATTCACAGAGGTATTCATCCAAACAATATACTGATCGCCAAAAATGTGGTGAACGGAAGGTTTTTGAAGATATGTGAATTTGGACTTGCTACACATCATCATCAAGGTATTTATCTTTTATTTATAAACTTTATAAATAATTAAAATAAGTTTACAATATTTAGAAGTGTGAATTTTTTGGCATAAAATTAATTTTCATGCGCAAGGATAATTGAATTTTCGATTAATTTCATTAATTTTTAAAATATACAATTATATTAGAATAGTTGTACATTTTATTAAATATATTATCTATATACACCATAATATGCAATTTTTATAATTATTATTTAAATTTTTAATTATTTATTACATTACTAAATAAATTGAGATTTTATTTAGTAATAGTAAGATAATATTAAAACTATATTAAATATAAAATCATAAATTAAATATTATGGTACATTTAGATAAAATAGCTAATAAAATTTACTGATATTTTAATATAATTGTATCGTTTTAAAATTAATTTAATAAATTGTGAGACCACAGGATTTCTTGGGCACTGTCTTAAAAACCAACATGGGCCTCCCTAAAGCGAAAGAGCTGGGTATATATTTAATTATTATTATATATTAATTTTTTATTATTTACAAAATATTTAATATAGTTTACGGTTAAATCTGTTAATAACTTAATAATTATGATTGTAATTACATATAAACAGCTCTCTCTCCCTTTCAGGACCACAAAATTGGGAGAGAAAGCTATTTATATGTAATTACAAATAAAATTATTAAAAAATTATCTGATTAAACTATATTAAATACTTTGTAAAAAAATTAATAATAAATTAATATTTAATAATAATTAAATATATACCCAGTTCTCTCTCTCTCTCTCTCTCTCTCTCTCTCTTTGTGGAGACCATAGGAGGCAAAGTTGGTTTTTAAGACAGTAGGGGTTTCTTGGGCTGGGTTATGAAGTGGACCCTGTTTAATATTACTGATATGCGATTTACACATAAAATTATCATGGTGTTTTAGGTGATACTGCACACACAATGGGTTTAGGAGCGGGATTATATCGAGCACCCGAAGTAACCATGAGCAAATATTACAACCACAAAGCTGATATCTATAGTCTAGCAATAATTTGCGGTGAGCTATTTGATCTGGATCTTTACAGCGGCGAGTAAGCTATAATATATCGTGTAAAATAATTAATGAAAATTGTTATAAGTTCTTTTTAACCTGTTCAGTTTGAAAATGCTAACTACGGATGAAAATATTATACTAAATAATGAACCATTAGCTGAATTGAACAAAATATTGGAAACAATGTTATCGCATATTACTAGTAAGCGACCCGATTGTAGGGATATCCTGGATAAATATAACCAGTGGTCTATTGATATGAATATTCTTAAAAATTGTAAAGAATTAAACATTATTTTAAGCAGGTCTAAATCATTTGACATGCAGTTTTTCTATAAGTTCTTATCAAATAAATTACAAATATTTGTCGATGATAAACTAATAATTAAATTGAACAATGGACATTACTCAAAAGCATTTCAAATATTGTCCACCATTGGATCTGGAGGGTTTGGTGTTGTTACAAAAGTGGAACATAAATTGTCAAATGAAGTTTATGCTGTTAAAATGATTGATACTGATGGTAAAATATAAATTTAGGAATTATTCTTAATTATTAAAATTATTTTTTGAAATATTTTAGAATTAAATGACAAACAAATAAACAATATTTATAGAGAAGTACAATATTTAAGTCGAGTTGACCCCCAATATGTAGTCCAGTGTTTCGATTCGTGGAAAGAATTAAATAGAGTTTACATTCAGTTAGAGATGTGTTCACAGAATCTGACAAATATTCTGGAAATCAAACCACAAGTCTTCAAACGATTGAAAAATGAATCCATGAATTCATACGAATACATCATTTCGTGTGAAATATTTAAAGAGATCTTAGAATGTGTTCAGTATTTGCATGAAAATAATTTCATTCACAGAGACCTCAAACCCGACAATATATTAATCGCCGACAATATACTGAACGGAAGATTCATAAAGTTATGTGATTTCGGTTTAGTTACAGAACACGATAATAGCGTTCATTATATAACTGCTTACAAACACACGGCAGACGTGGGAACCATGAAATATATCGCACCAGAAGTAGCTTCAGGTAAAAAATATAATCATAAATCTGATATACATAGTTTGGCCCTGGTAGCTAGCGACATATTCGAGATTGACGTGTTTAAAGATTGGGAAAGGTATATACAGTATTATTTTTTAGATATTAAATATTATACTTATGAAAATTTATTTTTTATATTTTAGTGACTTCCGATACTCAACTATAAATACAAATATAAATGAGCCAGTATATTTGTTGAAAAAACTTTTGGACGACATGTTGGCCCATAAATGGCATAATAGACCGGAATGTGAGGAAGTGTTGGCTAAATATAACGAGTGGTCTATCGATAGGAATATTCTGTTAAATGATTCAGAATTTGATGACATATTGGATAGTATTGATAAAATTGAGACTCAGATTAGGGAACGGGATGTGAGTGTGAGAGACAAACAATACATTAATGACACTCTCGATAGAAACTATTATGGCGTACAGAATGGGAAACTGTTTTTTAAAAGTTATTTGTCTTGTATTTCAAAGAAATAATTTTAGTTTTTTATTCAATATCTAAAATACAATAGATTTTCAATGATATTAAGCAAGCAAGATTATTAATTATCAAGATAAGCTACAGTAGTAAAGAATTAAGCTTGATATTTATTTATTTAAGTGTTTTAATGTTGTAATGAAATATTTGATATGATAAAGCATTATTAATTAATAATTTATTTAATAAAATTATTAACTATATAATGGTCAAACCATTATTAAAATAATTATTATACGTAAATAAAGTAATTATAAAAAGTAAACATTAAATTTAAATCATATAACAATTTGATCCACCTTACTCAATAAAAATCTAATATTGTATAATAGTTTTTCACATTATGACCCCTCTCATTTTTGTTGCGCTCATGGTAACAAAAAGTCATTACCTCTAAGAAAGTTAAATAAAAATAAAAATTTTAATTATATTATTCAAAATATAATATAAATCCCAGGGTTTGTTGTATCCCGTTTATTGGTAAATAAATATATTCTGTATACTTTGTATAATCTTTAAATAAATTTTACAGGTTATTTGGAACTTTTTTATAATTATTTTTTTAAAAATAACTTTTATTTCTGGAAAGATATTTGTTAATGTAACTACAATAGTTTAACAAGTAAAAAGTTTTGTGAACATGCTAAAAGTCTTAAAGGTTTTACTAATTAACTTTATAATACAATACATTAAAATATTTACCATAATATGTTATGTTTTGGCATTACTATTGTCAACATAATCCTGTCCAAACATATTCATTGTTTTAAGATATCACCATTCTTATTGACCTGGCTTATTTCTTGACATATTGTATTAATAACTGACCATGATGCTATTTAGTTATGTTCATTTAATACTAACATTTATATTAATATTATGACATTTAATTAAAGGTTAACATTCATTTCATAATTGGTAAAATTCTTGAGCTTGTTTATATTTATCATGCGCATATATTATTGTTATTTTATTAGTTGTTTAATTAAATTACATTATTTAAATAAAATTTGGCGGAAATATACAGCATCTTCAATATTTACAGTATAAATAATTTGAGTATCTATAAAATAAGGCCCTTGGTAATTAATTTAGAACTCTATAAGTAGGGACTGCACAAAATCTTTTAACTGTAATTTACTAACAAATAAACTAAATATTCATAAATAAATAAATAAATTAATTAATTAATTAATCAAAAATTAATTAATTGTTAACTAGGAATGAGTCAGTAATACAATTAATTGTATCCTACTTATTATATTCAAAATAACTTATCATTAATTATTAATCTAATAAACTGTTACTTAATATCAATAATTTAAATATTTTACCATATAATGTTAAATTAAGAGTTTTGGTTTTTATTAGCCGGACGATTTCGTTAAATAAAATATAATATTTTTTTGTTTACCCAAATATTTAAATATTAATTTTGTGATAATCCATATTTCAATAGTTTTATAAATGATATTAAGGAAGAAAGATTTTATGCTTGATATTAATTTATTTAAAAGTATTAATATTACAATGATATATCAGCACTCATCAATGTGTCAAATAATAATTAATTAATACAGTACATTATAAAATTATTAAGTATTTAATGTGCAAAATAATCATTAAAATCAGTGTAAATTAAAAATAATTATAAAAAGTGAACATAATGAATTTAAAAGCATTTTGAACCACCTTACTCAATACAAATTATTTATTTAAGGGGTTCTGAGAGCACCGGGTATGCCATAGGTTAACCCAGTTAACATATGTAGGCACAAATTGGTATTCAAGCCCTTACAGGTGACGGCTGCCATACAGGTGCCTATCTTTTTGCGTTTAAGGCATTCAAGGATCTCCTTCTGACAGGCGAGCGCCACCTTATAGCCAATACAGTCAATGAACTGAACTACCTGGGTGCCCAAGGTAAATAAGTTGCCGAATATAGCAACTGGGTCAATTGATGGGAATGGCCCTGGTGGGAACTGTGCTGGGGGTACTGCTGATGATCCACTTACAGTGGTTTGGGACTGACCGGGAGACATTTATAAACAAAAGATTATATTCAATAAAAACATTAATACCCAATAACTACTGGTAGTATCACATAAATAATGCTTTATTTATATCACAATACCATAGCAAGAGATTGATAAGAATATTATTAAATGTCAACATAAACAATTATTAAATATAAAGTGAGATTTTAGTTTTACAATTGGAAAATATGTTTATAATTTTAATTATACATTAATTGCTATAAATTTATCATGAATGAATCTAATTCGCAAAAATTATTTTATGAATATATAAATTCATTTCATAATGAAATTGAATTATCGGATAAACTCACCAGTTTACTTCGGACACACCCATGTGAATTTCTGTTGGATGACATTATGGTAGGTTATTTTTATAGAATTTAAACGTTAATAGTTAATTAGATAATTAATAGTTAAAGAGATAAATAATTTAATCGTTAAATTCTTATGAAAACGATTTATAAATTGCTAATTATTCTAACATTAATTAGATAAGTACAGATGCGACAAAAGTAAAATCACAAATATTATGGCAGTTCTCGCAACAGCGCCCTCATTACGAACAGTTAGTGGATATATTGGATGAGTCGGGTCAGCACCGGGTGGCGCAAAAGTTGCGCGACTTTAACAGCACATTAAAATCACTTCAACTTGAGATCATATCAACTATCGCATCGGGGCAATTTTCAGTGGTCTATAAAATGAAACATAAAACCGATCAAAAGGTTTATGCTGTTAAAAAATGCGATTTCTCAAGTTGGTAAAATTAATATTTTTAAAAATTAATAAAACCATTTTAACGAGTTAATTTGATTTTAATTTTGATTGATTTTAACAAGTTTTACTTTAGGTTTTAACATCTAGTGCATTAATTACTAGTACTGTACCGATTGTTTTCAAAAATTTATAAGCAATCAGTATTAATACTAATGCTATTTTTAAATTGCTGAGTTGACTATAATTTTTACAATAATCACTATATTAATATATTTAACATTTTAAATAAATTTGAAATATTCTATACTTTAGATCATAGGCGCACATATATGACCGTTTGCGGCCAACTAGCGATGTATGCATTAAATAGTTTAATACTATATTTACAACACTAGTATTTTATGAATAAGAAAATAAACATTAAGATTAATGATAATTTCTCAGATTTATACTAGTTTTTATTACTCATGCTGTTTTGACTTTTGATTAAATCGTGTGTCAATATTTTCCTATATATTATTCGAATTTTATTTTACACGTTCATAAATATTCACATTTTAATCCAAATTGAAGATTATTTTTTAACTAAAAGGTTATTCATTTATAAAACATAGTATACTGGCGTTGTAGATAATTATTGAGTTTAGTAATGTTATACATCACTATTTAGCGGTTTTTAAAAATTCTGGACAGGCCTGCTTTAGATTATACATTAACAAAATTTTTGATCTTAAACAATTATTAATGTTATAAGTATTAGTAACTGGGCTCTGTAGCCCATGAATGTTAATCTATGTTTAGATGTTAAATCCTTAATATTTAAAACATTTAGGTTTGGATACATATGACACACATTGTATTCATCGTGAGGCCGGATATTTGCGACGACTGCGCTCGCAATACGTTGTCGAGTATTACGATAGTTGGGTCGAAGGGAGCACCTTGTTCATTCAAATTGAGTTATTCTCTCATAACCTCATCGACCTACTGAACATAAAGCCACAAATGTTTAATAGAAAATCGGGACAACCCATGGATTTATACGAGTATTTCGTTTCGTGTGAGATATTCAAAGAGATCTTAGAATGCGTTCAGTATTTACATGAATTGAATCCACCGGTCATTCATCGAGCCATACATCCCTATAATATATTATTTACCGAGAATATAATGAACGGAAGGTTTTTAAAGCTTGGTGGTTTTGGCTTGGCAACTTATCACCAGGAAAGTACTGATTCAATAAATATGTAATATTTATCCGTAAAATGATCTTAAATTAATTTATAGATGATAAGCACACAACGGGATTGGGATATCCCTTATATAGAGCGCCCGAAGTAGATGTGTATAAATATTATGACCATAAAGTGGACATCTATAGTGTTGGTCTAATTGGCGAAAAGATATTTGATTTAGATCTGTACAGTGACAAGTATGTCAAGTAAAGTGCCATTCGCAAAATACGTACGCAAATGGCAAAAATTGATACCCTCCTACAGCGTATATAAGAAGTGACATTGTGATGAGTTACATTACACCCTCCCTTTGTTAGTGTGAACGTGCTTTGCCAATGACATCTAATGCGATTTATGAAATATTAATTTTGAATAATCAATGTAAATTTACAGTATGGGACATGTTAATCCAGAATATCAGATAAATATGGGACCTGCTTTGGAAGTAAACAAATTATTGGAGTCAATGGTATCACATATTAGTAGTAGACGTCCAAATTGTAGGGATATCCTAGATAAATATAATGAGTGGTCTATCGATAAGAATATTCTTAAAATTGATACAGAATTACATTCTATGTTAAATATATTTAAATCAAGTGACCCCCAATTTTTCTATAATTTCCTATCAAACAAATTACAAGTATTTGCTGACGATAAAAGTAATATTAGAATCAACAATGGGTATTATTCAAAAACATTTAAAATATTATCCAACATTGGATCTGGTGGGTTTGGTGTTGTTACAAAAGTGGAACATAAATTATCCAATTTAGTTTTTGCTGTTAAAATGATTAACTTAACTGGTAAAGCATGAATACATAATACAAATTATTTACACTTATATGTGATTTTATTTATTTTTATATTAGAATTAAGTGACAAACAAATAAGAAATATCCACAAGGAAATGGAGTATTTGAGTCAAGTTGATCTCCAATATGTGGTCCAGTATTTCGATTCGTGGAAAGAATTAAATACAGTTTACATTCAGTTAGAGATGTGTTCACAGAATCTGACGAATATTCTGGAAATCAAACCACAAGTATTCAAACGATTGCCAAACGAGTCGATGAATTCATACGAATACATCATTTCGTGTGAAATATTTAAAGAGATCTTAGAATGTGTTCAGTATTTGCATGAAAATAATTTCATTCACCGAGACCTCAAACCCGACAATATATTAATCGCCGACAATATACTGAACGGACGATTCTTAAAGTTATGTGATTTCGGTTTAGTTACAGAACACGATAATAGCGTTCATTATATAACTGCTTACAAACACACCGCAGACGTGGGAACCATGAAATATATCGCACCAGAAGTAGCATCCGGTAAAAAATATGATCATAAATCTGATATACATAGCTTAGCCCTGGTAGCTAGCGACATATTCGAGATTGACGTGTTTAAAGATTGGGACAGGTATATACAGTATTATTTTTTAGATATTAAATATTTATACATATGAAAATTTATTTTTTATATTTCAGTGACTTTCGATACTCAACTATAAATACAAATTTAAATGAGCCAGTATATTTGTTGAAAAAACTTTTAGACGACATGTTGGACAGAAAATGGAATAAAAGGCCGGAATGTGCGGAAGTGTTGGCTAAATATAACGAGTGGTCTATCGATACGGAGATTCTGTTAAATGATTCACAATTTGATAACACATTAGATAGTATTCACAAGATTGAGACTCAGATTAGGGAAAGGGATGTGAGTGAGAGAGACAAACAATACATTAATGACACTCTCGATAGAAACTATTATGGCGTACAGAATGGAAAACCGTTTTTTAAAAGTTATTTGTCTTGTATTTCAAAGAAATAATTTTAATTTTTTATTTAATACTATATCTATAATACAATATATTTTCAATTATATTAAGCAAGCAAGATTATAAATTATCAACATGAAGTACAGTGCTAACGATTAAGCTTGATATTTATTTATTTAAGTGTTGTAATATTGTAATGAAGCATTTGTGGTGATCAATATGATAAAGCATTATTAATTAATAAGTTAATCAATAAAATTATTAACTATATAAACGTCAAAGCATCTATTAAAATAATTATTATACGTAAATAAAGTAATTATAAAAAGCAAACATTAAAATTAAATTATATAACAATTTGATCCACCTTACTCAATAAAAATCTAATATTGTATAATAGTTTTCACATTATGACCTCACTCA